AAAATTCATTGAGATACGAACTGTGAAAGTTAAGGTATTGGTTTTTTTTAAAATGTCAATCTGCCTTATTTCTATTGACGGCAGCCCATATTTTGATCATTATATGTGACAAAATCGAATTATGTGACATAACGAATGGAAACAAATCCACCCATATGATACAATACAAACCTGTAATATGTGGCAATTATGTCCTCACCTACATGCATAAACCTTAGATCAAGATCCGTACATGTTGATTGAATACCTAATCGCTATATTTAACAATATTACAGTATTGGTATGTATAAACTTTATTATGAATTAAATTATATACTGTAATTATACTTATATATGATTTAATAAAAAAATATTTATATCACGTTGGCATCAACTTGGGGGACGCAATCTGCACTAATTAAAATGCTTTATAATATTATAAATTTGTGTAGAATTGAGCTTTGAAATATAATCAGCACTATATGTTCGAATTCTCTCAATTTTTTCAATTCCTATCCTCTTAACTATTTTTTTGGTATCGGGGTCATAACTTTCTTCAAACAACTTGTAGATATTTCTAGCCTTTGCAGTTTTTTACGCAAACTATCTCTTGTAAATCCCGGAAGATTGGTTGCGACTTCGCCATATACTAACTCTCTAGCTTGTTGATCATTATACCTACTGTTATCATTTTTTATTTTTTTAACTCTTTCTTCAAATTTTTTAGCAAACAGATACTAGCATCTTATTTCTTCTTGGTAGGCACAGGTTATACATTTTTCTGCCCGGTTTGCATTATAGTATAACTGGAGTAAAGTTATTGGTTTTGATTCTTTGCTCTTATTTCCTCTATCATTATCATCAATCGGCTTACTTGGCATAGATAGTTCTTTTATTAAACCTTGTACTTATTAGATTTCATGGATTTTGGTTCACTTCATAGGATAGCTTTACCACCATCTACGGATAACTTACTTACCACCCCCGTTAGATTAGAGATTTCTTCACCTTCATCTTTCACTGCCTCTGACATATCTATGTCCTAAACTTTAGCTGATGCCATTCCTTCATTATCTACGAAACAAATGGGACAAGTTTTTTGCTTATCTCTATTACTTTTTTCAAGACAGTCATGATGAAGTATATGACCACACACGAGCGTGATAAATGCTTTGGGTGGATTTAACAAAATTTCTTCATTACATTCATGACAATTCTCTAGCTCCAGTATTGTGATATTACTTGTGAGAGAGTTTGGATGACCTTTTAAGATATTTATTCCTAAGGCTTTTAATAATTCTGCTCGTTTGGGGTATTTTTTGGTAAGTTCTCCTTCGCTAAGTGGTTCGTTACTCATAGTATAGATTACGATGAGTTGGTTAATGATGAAAATTTTTCTTATCATTTCATATTTACCTGACTATATATTATTTTTTTACTACTCGGAATTATTTGATAGCTAAAAAATAAACGGATATAATATCTAAATCAATACATTTACTCGAACTTTAACCAGATAAGTCTTTGAAATTTATTATTCATTTATTCTGTTTTATAATATATTTCCATATTAACAAACCAATTTGCAGATTTTATGAAATCTCATTTCAGGTTTAGCGATCCATTCATTCACAAATTATTTAGTATGGGCCAGGATCGCTCGATCTTCGCTAGCAATCACAGATAAATAATTTGGCTTAAGGGTATCGAAAAATAATTAATATGGTGAAAGCAAAGAAACGTGGTTAGTCTTTATCATAGATTTGGAATAGTCTTGCTTGCTCTGGGGATTGATTTTTTCTCTAATAATTTACCACAACATAATTTTGTGCTGGTGAGGTGTTATTATCAGGATTGTGGCGTAAGGCTTCTCCAGCAATTGTCATAGCATGAGCTAAGTTCTTTGCCCCATGTACCACCACAGCATATACAGCCCCTATTTTACGTAAATGCCGAGGAATTAAATCATAGTCTTTTAAGAAACTATTGAACCATTTAATCTCTGGCTTACCTGGATCATCTATTCGACCAGAAGATATAGCATTTTGTATCCAGATTAGTAATTCTTTGACTCGTTCTTGATTCTTCTCCATAGATCTTAATTTTCGAGGAGTATCTATCTAACTTCGGTTCTTTGCATAGCCTATCACTCCAGCATTTGTAATGCGTAAAGATGTAAGTTCAGCAGGGCGGATACAAAGCATTATTATAACATCTGCAAGAGCTTGTAAGTCGGGTAAAGTAGATGTATCATAACTGTCCAATCTTTCTTTGACCGATTCTAATGTAAAGTGGTTTGGATAATCAATTCTCTCAAACTCCTCAACAAATATTCGTCAATTCTTCTGAATTTCGTTAGCATCTTTTGTAATATTAGGGAATTTTGTGGCTTCGATTATCTGGGATAAAGCACCAAGATTTCTTAATTCTCTTCTGAGTCATAATAACTGAGAAGAACTAGCATTAGCATTTAATGCCGATAAGGCTAAGGCATAAGCTTCAGCTCTTATATCCCTAATACTAAGCTTGTTCTGTAAAAATCAATGCGCCATCTCTCTGATAGTTTCTTCCTTTAATCCTTGCGGAATTGAAATAGGATCTTGATATCTATCGAAAGTTGCAAGATTTATAGTTTTAGTTTTACCACTTCTCTGGTTAGGTATCAATATACTCATCTGTTCACTGCTAAATTTAAAGCCATCCCGAAGACATCTTCGTGCCTGATTTCTTTTTCTATTATTTGTAAGATTTTTGAGAAACTTAGAGGTATATTGTCCAAGCTCAGATATATCCATCTTTAGGGTGAGTTTATATTTTTTAACAATTTTTGTTGCAATAGCTAACATTGTTAGATTTTATAGTAGGTCAAGTAGTTTATGAGCAATTCTTTAGATTATATTCACTATAAAATTAATTTTTCAAATCGAAATTAATTACGCTTTTTTCTTCTATACCTAGAAAAAAAGAGTTTATGTACTTGCATAAGCAAGAGTAATATGTCGATTTGAAATTTACTAATATATAGGATATAACGAAAAAATTTATAGCATTTGGGGTAGGATCCCAGGCTATATTAATTATATATTGTGTTTTATTTTTTAGTATATTGCTCGAGCTAGAATTAATATATGTTCTGGCTCTAGAATGTTTGCCTTGGTGAATGCATCATATAAGGCATTTGGACTATATTTTGAGAAAATCAAATTCGGATGATGGAGGAATTTCATAAGTATAACACTTCTCCATTCGTGCGCTTTATTACTATCCCAACACATTTCTAATAATGCAGTTAAGCTGGAGTAATTCATCTCGATCAAGTTATCTAAAGACGTTTTTCCATTTCTTTCTATAGTGAAAAGACTCATTCCTCCTTCGATAATAAATAACATAGTAATCGGACATCTTCCACATATGTCTCCTCTTCGGGCTAAAATAGAAAGGGGTGATATCAGAGCAGGATAATAAAAGTCAGCTAGGGGGTAGATTGTACCGTATTCATCTAAATCGATTGGTGGAATATCTTCTAAATAATGCATAAGATCTCTGGCATATTTATATCCTTCGTGTAACAATCTATTATATAATTTTCCTTTCCTTTTAATCCAATGATTAGTGGAGAGATTAAGCACTTCTTCAGGTTCATTGAATTCTTTATTATATTCCGGCTCTTTGATATACATTTTTGCGTTGTATTAATGTGGTATATAGTTATGAAAATGATAATAGTTGATTGTTTCTTATGAAAATGAAAAGTTTAATTGGTTATTTTTCAAAGACCTGGATCATATACGAAAAAATAAATGATAATACTTATCTAGTAAATTGCTTTACAGATATAGAAATCAAGTGTATAGAGTTTTTTTCACACATATCAAAGCTTCTACCTGCAAAATTTACCTACCTATTCACTCCTTACTGATCGAGTAATTTACCATAACATACCATTTTCCTGGAGTATGTTAATTGTTTTTTTCCATTCCTCATCAGTATCCAACCATAATAAGGTGATTCCATCTTTCTCTAGAGAACGGCGGATTATTTCTTCACTTATTAATCTTTCTCGCACTGTCATATCCATATATTCACTAGGATTTTCTTCAGCCTCCTTTGCATAACTACACATTCTTGCGTCAGTCTGTATTCTATCACAGAATACTATAAAATCAAGCTTATCTTTTTTAGTAATGGTAACAAATTTGTCAGGATCTTCACCAAGCTCAATAGCTTTTTGACGGAGGCGAGCCTCCCTTTCTTCCCAAGGTATATATCCAAGTGAGTATGTTTTCGATTGGGTGTTGGATTCTTCATTGCTATTTTTTAGTTCGTCGTTTGCAAGTAAGTCAGGAGAAATCTCGGGTTCAACTTTATCATTTGCTGGTTTAATGATCTCAGAAACTGGTTTGGATTTATCGTCCACAGGTTCTGCGTATATGATCTCAGGTGGCGGAGATATATCGGTAGACTTGGATGACGAAGCAACTAAACTTTCATTTGGTATAGAATCGAAGAGATCCTGGGTCATGTTAGTAATGGATGGAGCAGGTGATATATTCTTACCTTTTTTGATATAATCGGTGATCGATAACCCAGCTATATTTTTTGCTGGTTGAGGATTTATTGCAAAGCAATGACCCTTTGGGTTTACAATTTCGGGTACGTTAAATACAGGGATATCTGTAGATGCGTTGGAGGATATCTCGCCTTGAGGTGTGTCAGAAAATTCTTCTATATCAATACCCTTTTCACGTAGTTTGCTTATGATTTTAGATCGATCGAGAATGTACTGATATACTCTTACTCCACTATCGCGTAAACGTGTACGATCAATACCTATTTGCAAGATTTTTTTTTCAAGAACATTACTAGTGGATGGTTTTTCTTCATTACTTCCATACCAAGTGAGATAATCTTGATATAAAGTAGTACAGCTTGGTTTATCAATCTGATTCTCAGACCATAGTGAAATATAATCAATTATGAATCGAATAGGGTTGGGAAGGTGACCTCGCATTGTTTCAACTTTCATTTTAGTATTAGAGATATCTTGTGGTATTCAATTTGAAAGATCTCATTTAAGTAAGTAGCTCATAAAATTATTAGGTGTATTAGGATGTTCCAGAATTTTTCCAAGTTGCTTAAAATATCCCATATTACCCTTACATCTAGGAGATACATCTAAGCATACTATATGCCCATCACCCATTTCAACATGAAGTGGGGCATCATGATTACTAAGGACCATATATCCAGCGAAATCTTTGATTGTTTTGGGCTCAATTCCCTTACGCTCAATAGTTATATATGGCTCAGTAATAAGAGATTTTAGGTGGTCATTAGCCTTTTGCCATTCTCCTAATACCATTCCCGTTTCGTTTAAAAGGATAAGCTTTCTAGCTTGGATACAGCTATTGAATCTCCCTAATATTTTCCCAAGATCTGAGGATACAAAGAATAATTCCGGTCCTAAGACTTCCTTGCCGATAAAATCAGTTAAGATGTTTTTTCCTGAACGGGGTGGGGATCTTAGTACTAAAACAGTTCCAGGTTTTTTTTCTGGATATTGTACAAGATAAGCCAACCAGTTAATAACATACTCAGAAAGATTTTTATCCCCATTACACCAAACATTTTCTATATGCCAAATGATCGGATCAATAAGAGCAGAATTAATTTCAGTTGATAGTCGAACTTTGAATCCTAGAAAAAGATTAAAGAATTTAGTATTCAATGGAGAGGTGTTTGGAGAAAACGGTAGAAAATCAATATTACTATAAAGAATCAGACCTTTTGTAACTGCCCGATTTATTAGTATTTTTAAGTCTACTAATTCTCCCCCATGTTCAGTTATACTAATTTCGTAATTTGCAAGATCTAGTTTGGATGCTATATCAAAATAAAGACTATTATCTGAATTTTTCATTTTAAATAACCACAATCTTGAAGTTGTTTGAACACATGCAACTGTTGCTTGAATTGCTTCATACACCTCTTTGCGCGTATATCTTTGTTCGGATATATACATATCTAGTAAGTTTTCCCATACAAAATTATCGTTCGGATCAGAAATTCTGGATTTTTCTAGTTTTGGGAGGATTAAAAATTTGTTTTCTCGATCCTTGGCTGATTCATTAATAGTAAGTTTTATCGAAGGTTTTCTTGTTCCAAGATCTCTCTTATCATTTGCACGATAACAATAAAAGCTATATGATTTCTTATTTCAAATAATATATGCATTGTCATTCTCATATATGTGATCATTTTGTTCTTTATCTTCCCATTTACATAATGGACAATTCGAAGGTGTTATGCATTTAAGATAAAAGGTGTTAGGATAATTTTCTGTAGAGTATGATACCTCATATCCTGAAATATTAGCATGTTCCAATAACTCCTTTACTAATTGGAGCTCAGTCTCACTGCTTTCTATACTATTATTACATATTCTAATTAACTCTGAGACGAATATAGAAGAAATTTCTATATTAATATTCAATCCTGAAATGGATATAGGAGAATTGTTTACATCATACTTTAAACTATTTAAAATAGGACTATTTTTAACTGGTGCCTCGTCGTTAGGTGGGCGAAGTATAAAATCAAAGACAGAACTATCTTTTGGAAATATTGCTCTCTTTGGACGGATATGCTTATACGATTTTTTACTGCTTTCATTACATTTTATTTTGATTACCTTCGGGGTATTAAGCATTCATAAAGAAAATGAGCTTTTGTTAGCGATGTTATCAACAATATCTTTTTCTTGTAAATCTATTGGAAGCTTTTTGCGAACGAGCTCAGTAAATACTGCAACTTTAGCAATATTTTTGAGTCAGAGACCAAAAGTTGATATATGGAGAGACATTTTTTTCTCATCACTACTACTGGCAATAGTTAATGTTTTGCGATTCCAATCTGGATATATTTCTAGACACACTTCTTTAAAGGCACGATAAAGTAAATCCCATATTTCTTTAGCTGTAAGCTTAAGCTTGGGTTTAATTTTATCAAATTTTTCTTTAGATAAATCAAAATCTATAAAGGGCCGAAGTGGGTCATCACCATCAATAAATTCGTGTAATGAATGTCCTTGCTGTTTACTAAATATAGCTTCTATTCCATCTTTAGTATCTGTACCGAGAAATTGTCTTGGCTTTACACTATCATCACAGATTTTATACTTATATTCGGCAATGCTTACGGCTTTGGCCCCCGGTGGTAGAAGGCTCCGTTATTTTCTTCCACTATTTCTGGGCTCTCTGGTCGAGAAGGTGGTGCTTCTGACTCTGCTGGCACGTGATCGATGTTTTCTTGGGTATACATGGTTGGTAAAGTTAGGTTATTTTTATAATATATTACCCTGATAAAAAAGTTTAAATTGAAAATAATTATTGAATATTTTTACCTAAGATAATATTATACGGAATCAAGTAAGTTTCGACAAATAATAATTGATGACAAGAACTTATATTTGTCAGTATCCTACCAATGAGGGAAAGATCTGTGGTCGGCCTTGCTATCGGCAAGAAGGATGTGCTATTCATTAAAAAAGGCGTCAATGCATCCCCTGTTTAGAGTGTGGCAAACTGACTGCTTCTAAGTATAGCTTATGTAATTTACATGTGGATAAATATCATGCTAAAGCTTTTTATTATCAGAATAAGCTATCTAAAATGGTACAAAATAGGCAAACAATAGAATCTTTGACACGAATTTCTAATAAAACCGGTACAGGTAAAAGTTGTCTCTAGAAAAAACTGGCCTTAAGAAAAAAAATTAGCTGGAGTCAGAAGTAGGGCCAGCAATTTGGCATAATTTGGTATTTTTTAGATTCTAGAACTATTTTTCG